ATAAAAAAAAAATTCCCTCTCAGGTATAAAAGATTCCCACAGATAGAACAGTATCTAGAATGTGCTCACAGTCCATAAAGATAAGACAAACAGAAAAGCAATCTACTAGCAGACTCAACAAACCAAAAAATTAATTCCCTGAGAACCTTAGGTAATAGTGTAGGCAGGTGATATCTTTAAGGAAGTGTCTACCTGAGGAAAAGAAGGAAATGAACTCCAGACAGTACTGTAAAAACAAGAGATTTGGAGAGAATGGGTAACTTTTGGAAAGGAGGAATAAAGGAAATGAAATAAAAATCTCAGCACATCTGTTAATGGCAGAATAGATGCAGCCTCATTTACAGTAGGCCTAGGGTAGCTCAGCAACTAGAATGTACACTCCCTGTTGAGACAGAGACCCCGGGTTGGAGCACAAGGGACCAGAAAGTGGGACTAAGAACAGCAAGTCCAGATTCAATGGAGTTCTCTGCTGAAAATCATTTTCCTTAGAATGTTGAAGACGATGATCTCTTATTCCTGGCTTTTATGTTGTTCTAGAAGACAGATACATTGGATTCCTGTGGTAACACCCTCCCAGTCCCTCCTGGAAGCATCAGGGTCAGCATCCCCCAAGGCAATGCATTGAGAGGGTGTTCCCACTTGCTCTACCCTTCAGCTTGGGGAGCAATCTCTTCCTTCTGTAACTTCCATACTGCAGATATTTTACATTCTAACATAACTCTCATTTTCTTCATCTTCCTTCTCCCAAATTCTACTTTTTTGCTTATATTGTTATTTATATTTTCTTTCTGTGAAAATTTCTTTTAAAAAATCTATTATTATTATTACTATCACTATTATTGATGGGATAGATCAGAACCTCCAGTTAAGAACTAAAATAAATACTTTCTCCCATAAATTGCTTTGTCTGGGTACTTTGTCATAGCCAATGGGAAGGAAACCATGACACTGTGAAGCCTCCTTCTACCACCATCAGTGAAGGCATCTTCCACCTCTTCCCAGAGGCAGCTGTCTTCCTCCTTCCCATCTCCATCCTCACAGTCAGCTTCTTTTACCTGACTCCTCCATCCACCTTCTCCATCTTTTAGGAGGACCAGCTCAAGCTGGCTCTCCAGCGAATCCTCACCTGGAGCTGGCTGGGTCCCCAGAGAGAGACATGGTGCATGGGTGTGTAGCCAGTACAAGGCTACCTTGTGTCATTGATGGCCCCAGCATCAGCCCCATCTTCATTTCTTGCTTAATTTGTCCTTTCCTAGAAGTAAGATGGGGGTCCTTGCTTGTCCCTCTCAGTGCAGAGGAGGCAGGGGTCCTTTTATAAGCTCCAGGGAAGATGGAAAAAAAGAAGTGTGAGGAAGGACAACAGCCTACAGCCCATGGAAGAGGCTCACTGTCCTTTTCTGCAAGGGCCACCTCCTGCCAACCACACCTGTCATACCAGCCACACCTGCAGCCTCAGCTGCCACCTCACAGAACCTTGTTTTTCCAGTGGCCCAGCTGTTTCTGGCAGTGACTCCAGGAGGAAGAGATGCTGAAGCTATGAAAGGAGACCATGAAGAGACCTCACTTTTCTGGGTTGTCACAGAGGAAAGGCTTACTGACAGCTCCAGGCTGTTCCAAGAGGCAGCATCTTCAGACACTACAATGTGAAACTGGGGAGGGGTCTCTTCTCCCTTCACCTAGAGTTGTACACTCAGGGTCAGCTCACACTGTGGGGATCTTTCTAAAGGGCTAGCCCAGCAATGGGTTTATACCTTTCTTACTTGTAAACTCTATGACAATGAGCAGTGAAAATACACACAGCCTTCTCTGTCTCCTTTCTCCTTAATCCAGCACCAGAGGGGCTTTTTGTTCAAGCTTCCTTGCTTAGTGTGCAGATACTTTTACGTGATAGCAATGGCCTTTGCGCAGGGAACAACTCACAGCTTACTGCCTTCATGGTGACTGACCCAGGACAACTATCCAGCGAGCTCTAGAATGTTTTCACTTCCAGAACCAGCTGCAGTGAAGACTGTTCATCATAGCAATCCTGTTTAGGCCACCCCTTCAGGCAGAATTCAGTGACTGGAGTCACTTTGTGTGTGTGTGTGTGTGTTGTAAATGTAGTTTATATTTATCAGTCTGTGTGTGTGGGGGGGTAGTGAGTGATGTATGTATTTATGGTACATATGTTATGGGGTATGTGTATGTGGTCTGTGTGGTGTATTGTGGGGGTGTACGTGTGGTGTATATGTGTGGTATATATAGTACATTATATGATGTTGTTTATGTAGTTTATGTATGGTATGTAGCATATGTATTATGTGATCTGTGTGGTGCCTGCATATGAGCACAGGTGTGCACACGTGTAGAGGATAGAGGTCATCAGGTGTTTTGCTCCATCACTCTCCACCTCACTGTCTTGAGGCTGGATCTCTTACTGAGCCAGAGGCCCTTTGCTTGGCCGTGGTTCTGGGGGAATTAGCTGGAGCATCCTGAGGGACACTGCCCAGGGCAACTCAGAGCTTTGAGACACTTCTGAAGCAGGTCTAAGAGAAGAGCCAGGCAATCCTCAGACCAGGAAACTGCTCCTGAGCAAAGGGCCAGGGCCAGAAAGAGCATGGAGGAAAAGCAGGCGCAGGTGAGCAGCTAGCTGCTTTACTCCAACCTAGAGTTAGGAAGGGAGTGTTAAGTGCCTCACAGAGGAAGGCAGGGGTGGTAAGCCAAATGGTAGTGTTGGCTCTCAGGTCTGGCTAAAGACTGACCCTGCAAGGTCAAGGCTCTGGGCTTCTGAGCAGACTGAGTGCAGCAGGCTGAGGCAGAGAAAGTTCTCCACTGGACTGAGGAGTAGGCAACACTGAAGCTGTGGGAACCTAGATGAAAGTTCTAGTAATCAGGAATGCTGGAATTATTGGTGGATGGATTGTTGGTGAAAGCCTTGGTCTAGCAAGACTCAGAAATTCATATACGACACGGATGGGAGTCTGCAAAGCAGCCTTCTTGATCTCTCTAAGGGTCTAGCAGCGTGGACACCCTACTGCAAGCGTCCACTTGGGAACAGTACTTGGATCTGTATTTTTCAACAACATTCTCTGCCAACTTTCTTGAGAGAGGAAAAAAAAGCAAGCCTGTACTGCCTCAGCCAGTCCAAGCAGAAAGTCCTCAGGGTGGCCAACTTAGGGAACACTGAGCATTAAGAGATAATCGAGTTTGGCCCATTGGCTAAACAGGAATCTGTGACTGTGTACCAATACCAGTGAAAATAAACAGGGAGAGAGGAACACAGTGTTGAATCTGTTGTGTGCTGGTCAAAACTGGTGAACCTGACCCATCAAGAGGAGGGTCACACCTATAGTGCTACATGTACTACAAAATGTAAAGGTTACGCAAGACGAAAAGCCTGGAACTGAGCACAGAAGAAAGTTGGGAGATGTGACAACTAAACCCAAGGAATTGGATGGAGTCCAGGTTCCCCAAGGTTAATCAGAGCCACTTATGCTGTCTTGAGGTCACCAGTAAAAATTTAAAAGGATTTATGGACTAGTTAGCACACTGCTAACTTGCTGATTCTGCTGGCTGTTAGAAAATTAAAGTCCTTGGTTTTGAGGAAATACACACTGAAGGACTGAAAAGTAACTGGGCATACTGTCTGCAAGCTTCTCTGAGGGTAGTTAGTCAGAGAGGAAGGCAGACAAGGGGAGGGTGGGTGGATGGGTGAAGAGGATGGGCAGCTGGGTAGACAAGTGGGTAGTTGGAAGGTTGGATATAGTGGCGATAGTGGGTTGATGGACAGTTGAATGGAAAGGCAGTGGCTAAGAAAAGGATAGTCAGGAAAATGAGGACAATTACATTTAACTGAATGAGAGACCCAGAGTCAATGTGAAATCATAACTGATACAATCTGAAAATATTTCAGATGTAAAGTTAACATGAGAATAGTAAATAATTAAAAAAAAAAAAAAACAAACATTGATGCTAGGAGCTCCTCCCCACCAGATCAGGTATATCCAAAAAAAGACCATGGGCCATCCTCTGCTTCCCAAATCTCCCAGGCCCGTGCTGTATCATATGAAACATCTCCAAAGCCCATGTTACTGTCTCAGAGCTCTGGTTTTTAAGAAGCAGATAATTAGAGCTTATTGATAAGAAATAATAGTCTGTGAATTCCAAAAGTAGGCAAGTCCTTTATTGACATAAAACAGACCTCCTATGGTCTCCGTGTTTTACACAAGAGCAGGAGACAGTGAAGACAAATTGAGGCGTATTAAAACATAGCCAGCTCCACTACTTCCTGTCATGAAAAAGTATCCTGTCCATGATTCATGTCAAAGTACACAGTACATTAATATCATTCTGTGCAGGTCACCTCTATGGTGACAATGTTCAGAACACAAATGGGGAAGGTACAACAAAAGGCTATCAAATCTGACTCCTCAGAGTACAACCATCTCCAATGGCCACCTCTGGCCACATTCATCTTCTGTATCTGGAACAGCAGGAGTCACCGCAGGGCAAGTCAACAAAGTCCTTGTCACAAACCGTCACTTCCCCAAAAGAGCCTGAAAGAGCGAATTGTTTGACTAAACAATTTTTTAATATAAAACCCATTTACAAAGAATTTTCCTGTAACTTTTATATATAAGGCTCTGACGTTTTAGGTGAGAACTCAGCAGGGAATGTGAGGGAAGAGGCATGCTGACCTAGACATCAAAACTAAAAACAAAAACAAACAAACAAAAACAAACAGCGGTTTCAGGCTGTAAGGCTGTTCAGTGTCAGGACCAGCCCTGTGGTTTTATAATCATTCCCTTTCTAGGCTCCAACAGCCAGATCCTCACAGGTCTCAAGCAGAGCTACCTTGTCACTCAGGTATAAGAACCCACTATGCCTCCAGACAGATATTCTGCCCATCGCAATGAGAAGAAAAAGGACACTGCGCTTCCCACGTCTCTACTGAAGATGCCATGCTCCAAGCAAGCAGAAGTGGCTTACTCTGGAACAGAGGGAGCATTCTTGTATGGGCTTTGTTGTAAAAGGCCTGCATCAGCATCCAATCAATACCACAGTGACACGACACCAACCTAGCCCCATCTGACATCAGACCCTTTGACTACAGGTCAGTAGCTGGTGGTAGCCTCTGCCCCAACACAGCTACTACTGCCTTGTCCATTAGCCTCTGCTTGGTCAGTGTATGGGCAGGCCACCAGCAGGGTGAGCAGTGTCCCAAGACCATTCTGTCCCCATGAGGAAACAAAGGGACCAGAAGCCTACATGGAGCCCTGGTTCTGTGGTGGCAAGCTAGGTCTTGCTGCGTCGGAGCAGTGTGGCAGCAGAGCTCTGGCCTCCTTGGAACTTGAGACTCTGCAAGTTGATGTGTGCTCCGTGTTTGAGCAGTGTCTCCACAGTCTGGGAATGCCTGCCCTGAGCAGCAAGGTGCAGTGCACTGAGGCCCTGCTCGTCAGACAGGTCAATGAGGTCAGCACAGACCAGCTCCTCCACCACCTCTGAGTGTCCACGGGCGGCAGCCAGGTGCAGGGCTGTCTGATTCAGGGGCCCCCGAGCCAGGACATCAGCCTTCTCCTCGAGGAGCAGCTTGACAGTAGCCAGGTGTCCATTCCTGGCTGCCAGGTGCAGGGCAGTATAGCCCTCTGAGGTCAAAGCCTCCTTGCCAGCACCGCGATGCAAGAGTAGCCTGGCAGTACTGGTGTGTCCAGTCTCTGCGGCAACATGCAGAGGTGTCTGTGCCTGTAAGCTGCAGATGTTAATGTCAGAGCACAGGTCAATGAGGATGCGAGCCACACGGTAGTGCCCCCTCTGAGCAGCCAGGTGCAGGGGTGTCCTCCCATCTAGTGTCTGGGCATTCACACTCACCCCGGGCTGCTTGGCTAGCAGCTTAACAATGGGCAGGTGGCCCTGCCAGGCAGCATAGTGCAGAGGCAACCAGGCATCTTTTCCCTGCAGGCCCACGTCCACACCACGGCGGAGCAGGGTACGCACAATGTTCTCCTGCCCATGCTGGCAGGCTACATGCATGGGTGTTCGGCCCTCGAAGTCTACCTCGTTGACAGAAGCATTCTTCTCTAGTAGCAGCCTTGTGCTGGCCTCATCCCCATTCTGGGCTGCAAAGTGCAGGGCAGTCCACTGGTCCTCATCCTTGGCATTGACACTGATCTTCCGGGCCAGCAGTAGCTCCACAATTCCGCGCCTCCTCCGCTCCACAGCCAAGTGCAGTGGTGTCGAGCCCTTCCTGTTGGTCAGGTTGGGGTTGGCATTGTTAAGAAGCAGCCACTTGACACATTCCTCCTGTCCAGCCTCCACAGCCAGGTGCAGCAGGCTGGCACTGTTGTCCAGAACCAAGTCCACATCTTGGGGCTGCAGGATCTTCATCAACTTGCTGGTGTCCCCCGATATGATGGCATCCACTAGCTTCTTCTTCTGGATGTCTGTGGGGCCCAGATCTGCAGGGAGAGGAGAGACAACATCAGAGAGCAGTGAGGCAACCACTACAGAATGTGGGCTTCTAAGGGTTGGGGGCTGAGGTCAGGTGGACCACACCTCTAGGGACTCTGAACAAGGACATTCAGGATACATCCTTTATTTGCAGGTGTTTAAGCATCAACTTTGAGTAATGCAGTTGATGTCTTCAAAGTGTTCCTCTGCTGATTTGCAGAATAAAACCACTCTAGCTTTTCCAGGGTTGGGAAAGCCCTCCCCCAGCATCAGCAGAATTGCTGACAATCATTTAAAAAGAGGGGCACCAGAAAAGAAAGCCAGACAGAACACAACCTGCCCAAAGACTTAGACCTGCAAGACACTATTCCTGGGGCCTCTACTGGCCTATAGAGCTGGTTCCTGGAACTTCGAGGAACACAGACTCAAAGTGGTACCCCCCCCCCCCCCGTTATGGGGTCATCACATCGAGTGTTTCTGAAGTGATTCTCAAAACTAGATTTCTCAGAACATACTCTGTATTCACAATGAAACTTCTATTGAACCTGAAAATCCACTGCATTATTGGAAATCCTGATTCCAATAAATACATTCCCTCTGCAGGTCTGGGTGGTACTAAGGAGACAGACCCTGCCTGGTGTTTAAATACTGCATTCTTTTTTTTCCTTTGTTGTTTTGAAACAGGGTCTCTCTATGTAGTCTTGGCTGCTCTGGAACCTGCTTTATACATCAGGCTGACCTCAAACTCTCAGAGATTACCCCGTTTCTGCCTCTCAAGTGCTTGGATTAAAGACACCACCATGACTGGCTTCAACACTACATTCTTATAGGGTGGTAGTCACCTCTCAGGCATGAGGACAAGGCATCACTAGAGAGGGTTAAGTCTGAAGAGAAGATTTTAGAACACATTTCCCCATGGCAGACAGTGATACTTCTGAGGCTGCTGTGAACTTAGCTCTGACTGTCCTTTTTGACTTTGTTGTCCACTGCTTGGTTAGAATCAAACATAGTCCTCTCTACCTATCTTTGCAAGGCATTTCCTTAACCTTCAATGCTCTTTAACCCAACATTCTACTGGAAAAATCCCTGCAAACTGGTAAGACCTCAAGTCTTTGCAGTCAACTGCACTTGGCCTCCCTCATGCTACAGCCCAAATTGAAATGTCTGTGTCTTACAGAGGAGCCACAGAGCTGCAGGTGTCAGCACCTCATAGGGACAGTCAACCCAGCTTGATGCAAGCCTATAGTAAGCGTATCCATAAACACAAAAGCTTGGGGTAGGGGTTATCTGGAAGTGTCTGAGTATGAGGCATAAGGCTGGCAAGTAAAGTCTCCAGGTGTCACTAGCTTCACTGGATGGGACTTGGGCTTTCCAGGTTGCAGACATAGACCAACCTTTGTCCCAGGGCTAACTAGGCCAGTTTATGTGGCCTATCTTCTTGTGTTAGACACCCAACAGAATCACACTACTGATGTGGGAATTTCTGGATCTGTGTTCTGAGCAAACTATGAAGATGACACCACAAACTCATCAAAGAAAACAGAAAGAAGACAAGAATTATTACCAGGGCAAGAGACCTTGGCACAGTAGCTGCTCAGACTCTAATACAACTCACAAGAGAGCCCCGTGCAAGCTCACTAGTGCTCATGGACACTCACCGCCTGTCGAAGCTTCCCGCTCAAATGACAGTGACAGTGATCCTCTGGAGGAAAAAGCAGAGTCCACTGAGGACACCCCTGAAAGCCTCTTGCCACTACTGGACGATGGGAGCTTGCATTCAGAGGAACTTCGGCTGAGCTCCTCAGGGCCTTCAAGAGTCTGGGAGATCCCAGAGTCTAACTGTGACAGCAACTCGGAGAGACTGCAGTCGTTATCGAAGGGGGGAGCAGAGGCGCGCTTGAGGCGTGAGGACTCCGGTCTGCTCTGCAAAGATGGAAAGGGTAGTAGTGAGGACTCTGCTCCTCCAGCCTCCATGTCAGAGCACAGAGAACAAGACAGAGGGACCAGAAACTATTAGATGGAGGTCCCATAGCTATGCACTACCGTCAAATAGCATCAAGAAACCCTGAGACTCAGGGCTGCAAAGAAACCTCATGGACTTGCCTGGCACAAAGACACTGTAAGAATAACAACTTAACCAAAATGGAAAAGTCTAACTACTACATGATGCTGCCACCCACTCTGGGGCACTGTCTAGGCCACAGGCAGTCCATCTGTGAGAGAATAGTCCAGACTCGGTCTACCCAAGACAGGCAGCCCAACAAGAAAGGAAAGTAGTCAGGCTGGGGCTCTCCCTTGCTCTGACAAAGCTTCAGACTTGTCAGGTATGTCAGTTTGGCTTGGGGCTATGAGAGCGAGAGCACTGGGGGACAGCGGGGACAGGTCTGGTTGCTTCAAGAAAAGCAGATTTCTAGTAACTAAGTCTGAGGATTGCTCACTCTTTCTGAGCCCTCCTCCCTTTGGGAACCGCCACCTGTGCTTGCCACCTGTGCACTAAGTTGTGTCTACTTGCTGGCTTCAAGCATATCAGAGGTAGGTTCTGTCCCTTTGTTGCTGTCAGGAGAATCTTTGTCCCCCAATTCTCACCTGTCCCACAGCTGTTCTACTTGGGAGAAGCTGTCCAATGCCAGAGGAACCATCACCACCTCACCACCACTGCCAACCTTTACAGTGGAGTCCTCTTCTTCAATCAATCATATCCTAGAGGCACTCAGCTAGCACTGGCCTTTGGAGCTTCTCATGGCTTCTGAGTAACCACATATACTTGTAACACAAACCATTTAAGAGCAGACAGTGCTCAGATCCTCAAGCCCTACCTACCAGGGGCCCAGGAGGACGGGGGCCATCTGCCCTTCATGGTTCGTCCTACACTTATTAACCTCGAGTGTTGAGCAGATGGGGGGATCCCCATGGGACAGGCTCAGAGGGAAATGGGGAGGAATTTTCAGAAAAGATGTTGGATTAGAAAATCCCACCACAGATTAGAACCCTGAAGATGCTTGCTAGAGACGCTTACCTCATTCCTGGGCTCTGAAGAACTTTTCTCACCCGGCTCATGAGCCAGGTCTTTCACTTCCTCATCAGGTTTTTCACAAAGGTCTTCGGTTTCAGAGGTAATTTCTTTTAGAGAGAAAACAAAAAGGGCTGTCATTTAGATATAACTCCTACACAATACTATGGGGACAGAAGCAGTGATACCCCAATCTTGACCAGCAGAGGACATGCTCAATACCACTGGCAGTTTGTAGAAAAAATCCCTGGCATCACTAGAAGACAACCCACCCACCATCCTGAGTGTCTGGGCAACCACCTGCAAGGTCTCATCAGGATCAAAACAGGTCTTTCTTAGTACCCTGCCGGACACAAAGGGTTAAAGCTATCAGGGCTGGCAGGTGAGCCCTATCTACTCATGTCTCCCCAGATTCATGTGAAAGGCAACTCTATCAGGTTCACTTTCTTACTCCAAAGGTACATCTGTCCATGAGGACAAGACCCTAAGGGAAGCGAAAGAAAATGACAGACCTTTAGTCACCGCCAGCTGCCTAACTAAATGTACACCATTGTACCTGAACTTGAAATCCAAGATTCTAAGCTCCCTGGAAGCAAATGCAGCCTGCTAGGAGAACAGATGGACACTGGGTCTGACTGTCTAGTTCTAATAACCCATCCCAGCCTTCAGGGTTGGGCAGCCGAAGTAGGGGATGGGCCAACCTGTCAGTGGTAGGCTTGTTTCATCCCTGTCTCTGCACACATTGTTCCCTGCCTGAGCTTGGCCCTCAACCCTGTCCTGGTCATCAACTCTACGGCCTGTGACACGGGAAAAGCCATCACATAGCAGTGATGAGACAGGGAAGGGCACCCACCTTGGAAGGTGGGCCGCACCTGCGGGTCTTCATCCCAGCACCGTTGCATGAGCCCTATCAGGTTGCTACAAGCACGTGGCCGGGGCCTGCAGACGGGTGGCAGCTCTGGGCGGTGGCCCTTCACCACCTTCACCATGATGTGCAGGATGTTCTTTTCATCTGCAAAGGAGAAACAGATGTCAAGACTTTGAGGAGCAAGAGATGGCTCCTCATTTAAATGTATGGATAAGTGCTGGGGACATGCTGTGACAGGCACATCATCCAGGACACTACCAAACCTGGACTTTTCTTTAATCCATCTGCTTATAGGACATAACATTCTCTGTGTTTCTCAGTTTTACAAACTCATGGGCACAGACTCTGCCGTTATTATCACCAACCCTAATCAGGAAGGGCTCAAGAGGGACTCTCGGTGGGTGACCTTCGGCTCACCTTAAACTATGCATCCCATCTGCCACTGGTTCCCATGGGCATTCCCCACCCCTGCATTCCTAGCACACCCTGAGGAGCAGCAGGCACCTAATGGCAAGTATGGAAAATTGGCCCACAGTCTCCGTCGGCTGCCAGGTCCACACTGACGCTTCGTTCACTTTCCCGTTAAGTCTTGTGCAATGCCTGTCTCTTGGTGTCTGTAGGTTACTTCCATGGTGATCCAGCCTTCCAACCCAGCAAGCTTTCCAAATGTAGCGAGAGTCAAGAGAATACCTACAAGATTTTTTGCTGCCAAGCAAGCTTGATGGGGTCTGCATGGCATCTGAGAAGTTCTGCTTCCCGCTTCCCATAGCTAGCAGGCAACGAAACCTGAGGGCCTAGAACCTTGATACACCACCTGACTCAAGAGTCACTGCTATTAGACAGTTTCACACCCAGCAGGTAGGCTGTCACACTGAAAAGAATTCAGTATGTGAACCTCCATGGTGGGGAACACAGTTAAAAGAAAAAGCAAGGGGGGAAAAGAGTGGAGAGATGGCTCAATCCTGGTTCCCAACACCCACATGGTAGCTCAAAACTGCCTGTATCTCTAACACTAGGGAATTCAATGCCCTCTTCTGACCTCCACAGACTCCTGCACACATGCAGTGCACAGACATCACTCAGGCAAACACAAATACACATAAAATTAATATACCTTTTAAAAGAACAATGGAGGGCAGGAAGATAACACCACCACTCTGCTGGATGTTTAACAAGCTACCCAAATCCCCTGAATCCTGCAGTACTTAGAAGAGCTCTTCTCCACCCTTCCCCTTTTCCATGCCGGTTTGAGTGTGAGACAGAGCCAGCAATGGGGCCTCAACTTGAGGGCTCTGACTTAACGATATCTGTCTGTCTGTCTGAACCCAGGGCCTCACATATCCTGAGCATGCTTTCTATTTTCAAATATATTTGGTCACACCCCACAGTGCAAACAGCCAGAAATGTCATAAAAGAAAAGAAACTTCTCTCTTCCCATTGCAGCTAAAAATGACTTAAGTTTTATAAACTTGAGTTGATATGGTGGGACTTCTGGAAACGGGCCAACCACATGTTTTTACTGCTATTCTCAGTGTGTTTAGAATGATTAACACAGCAGATTCTGTCATGTGTGTTTTATACCATTTGTTTTTGAAAGGGAGGGAAGAAGGAAGGCGAAGGAAGGGTATCTTGTTATATAGACTTTTAACAGCACCTAACACTAAGCAGCATCAAAGAATAAAGCTGCATATGGTCTGATGGTCCCACAATTGACTGTCCTTATGTAAGGAACACAGCAGAAGGCCAAGCCTGGATGTACTGTCAATATAAACTTGATAAGTAAGGAAGAAAGACCATGCAGGTGTTTTCTCAACTTCCTGCAAAAAGCTGTACTTGCAGGGTAGGTATAAGGCATCTTCCTTGAGGACAGGCCACATGTCTTTGAAGCCTTAGGGAGTCTAGCCCAGCCAAGTACAAACCAGAGGCATTGGGAGGGTGGAGAAGGTTCAAGCACATGCCCACTGTCTTCATGCAGGGCCACTTACCTGCAAATGGCTTCTTCTGTGTAAGCACACCCCAGATCACAATGGCGAAGCTGAAAGAGAAACTAGGTATCAATTGGTGCTGTAGGGTCAGGTTTGATAAGAGTTTCCGAGCTCTGAGCTGCCATCTCACAGGGGCACAGACCAAGTACTCAGACATCTAGGGGCACTTTTGCCCCCTATTCTTCTCTGCCTTGTCTTCAATCCTTTAAATCCAAGGTCAGGTTCTGTCTAGAATATTCCTCTAAGAGGCCCTGGGAGGCTTCATCAGAGAGTAGCTAAAGAAAAATCTATAGAAAGTACTAAGAAGCAACAAGCTGAGGCAAAACCCTCTCAGCTACTGGCAGACAAATGTTTAAATAAATAAATTTTTCTAGATACACTGAAAATGGCCCAATCTTTAAAAAAAAAAAAAAAAGACTGAAAATTGAGCCTAACTCATTAACTGGAAAATGTAGGTTCAAAAGTTAAAGCCAATATTAAAATAAACAAAGTACTTGACTATCCCCAAACTCTGCAAGCCCTGACTAGTCCCCAGAGGGCCATGCCCAGTGGGACTCACTGTTCAAAAGCCCAACACTGGCACACTGGCTTCTGTCAAACCAGTTAGCTGAGCCTGGTGACAAAAGACAGAGTTGGCTGCTCTGGTCCTTTCTTTTCCAATAGGTTGTTGGAACAAGACCCTCACAATTTGAGGAGGAAAGGGAGGTAGTTCTAAGGTACTCAAATCCCGAATGTCAGATCCAAAGGGAACTCCATTCCTCCTATGCTAATGGTTAGACAAAAGCCAGCATTAACCAGGAACTCCGGAAGCAGGTTCCTCTTTAATAAAAGGAGCCACTTCCCTTATCACTAAGCAGAAGGGACAATTAGCTATCTGTGGTGCCTATTAGCATACCACAGCTCATGCTGCCAGGCTCCTTCAGTATTACAAGTGCCTGCTACACATGTGCTGGCATCCTGCTCTTCTAGTCTCCCCCTCTTCCCTAAACTTGTCCAGCTCTTACGACTCAGCCACTTATAACCTTGCTATGGTCTTATTCTCTCATTCTCTCTCTCTCTCTCTCTCTCTCTCTCTCTCTCTCTCTCTCTCTCTCCCTCTCTCCCCCCCTCCCGCCCTCCCTCCTTCTCTCCCACACTCTCTCTTTGCTCTACTCCAGCTTCTCTTCTGGCCAGGTCCAGTTTGCGGGCCATGTTCAGACTGCTACTTTCTCTCTCTGCTCTGGAATCTTCCAGATGCTTCTGGCTGCTCTCTCTCCTATCTACAATTAAAAAAAGAAAAAAAAAATCTCCCCTTTAAGCATACCATGGAGTGATCAAGTTGTCAGTTTATATACTGGAGACTTAGGATGTGAACCAGTATCCCTCCTTCAGAGGCAAGTGACTAAAAAGTGACTGGCTCACTTTGGTATTCAGAGGAGTGTGAGCTTTGAGGAGTGCAAACCCATACACTATGGCTCTGCTATTCAAAGCAGCCGTTTCTTCTGACAGACAAGTAATATAACTCATGTTTCATGAAAATGCTGTATCATATCCAAGCACTGGGCTAGCAACTGCTTTTCTAACTACTACTGCTTAGCACCAGCCAGGAATAGCCTGTTTGTCAGCCAGCAACATCCACAGGAGAGAAAACTCATTCAATGCACCTGGGGAGAAGGTACCCACCTGCCAGCTAAAATCCCCAAGTCCAACAGGCACACACCATTTGCACATGCATCAAACTCCAAGGCTGAATGGTAGCCCAGGCCTTTCTGGAAACTGCTGCTCAGGGCAGGAAGCAACAGTGATTGATGCTTGGAGCTTTTAGCCTGGCACATAGGACATGGTGACATATCACACACCTGTATACATCGTGTTTGGTATCAAACAACCGGCTCTTCTCACGAATTCGCTCTGGAGGGAGGTAGGCGATTGTACCAAACAGGCCATCCATGCTGAGGTCATGAGAGTGGGACATGCCATTGCACTTGGCCAGCCCAAAGTCAGAAATCTGTAAGAGCAATTCAAAGGAGGCACGTCAGCCTTAAAGGGAGCCAGAAGAAGCTGTGGTGTATCTCCCTCTGGCACATGAGATGGTGGGGGCCCAGCACATGCTCTAGGGGTTCACCCCCAAACAGAAGGGCTGAGCTCCAGTCCGCCCTGTCTCTAAGCAGGCAGGATGCAGAAGGGCCGAGCCTGGATGTACCATCACTATAACTTGATGAATGGGGAAGAAAGACACCATGCTTAAAGAATGGAATTCAGTTGGAGAAAGAACTCAAAAAGAATGAGAACCAGCCTCGCTTCTGTAAGGCTTTACATCTACCCTGGTGGCTAATGGTCACGGTCAGCAGGAAGGAAGGGAAAAACAGCCTTCAGCTTTCAGGCTAAGGGAGCCACGTGACAGGCTAGGACATCTATCATCTATGTCAGTCCGGTTATGCAACCTTCCAGCTGGGGCAGCTACAAGTGCCAGCAGGTCCTTTAAAGCGTAACCCGCCTTCAGAGAGCTTTAGAGTGAGCAAAACACACGCCTCATCACCTTCCGGGCTCACTAGTCTACTCCAGACATGGTGTCCCCTCCCTTGGTGATGAAGTCACTGTCAGGACCCCCATCACTACTTCCAGAGTTCACAGGGGAGGCAGGTTTCCCAATTGGTGACAGTGTCCTTGCAACTCAGGCCTGCAGGCAGCTCTGGGAGTCCCTGTTTTCCACCCATGCCACCACAGCCAGGTGCAAACCAGACCCTTTGAAGCACTGTGTATTCATAAGATCCAAGTCAGCACCAAGTAGCCTTCCAGTGTACATATAAATGTCCCTTTTCTAGTCTCCTTCAAGGCTGATGTGGTTTTAACCCTTTTAATTCACTCCTGGGCTCATCTTCAAACACGCCCTGGCAGTAACAGGAAATGGGCTGAGTCAGGATTCTTGTTTCTAGACTGGCCATACCCATGACGGGAGCCCACAGCCTAGTGTCATAAATGCTGAATCAGGAAAAGCACACCTCTGTTTGTTTTTAGCTTTTTGTCAGCGACTAACTTTTCTGGTAATAGCCCGGCACCACACAAAAGCAGCGTTTTCGGCTCCTTTCAGGATGGTTCCAGTGAGGGGGTAGCCTCAGCACCCCAGCTTCGGGACAAAGTCTTTTCATGCTAATAGAACACCTTCTCATCATGGCTCCACAGCTTCTAGCCCAGCCATTCAGCTGACACTGTAAGAATTACAAGTGCCATCAGGTCGAGGGGACAATGGCCTGCAAGAGAATGTCAGCCCAGAATTTGTCAAGGGCAGCCCTTACTTCCTCAGTGAACGAGCATTAAGTGCCTGTTGTGTACCAGGTCTGAGAAAATACCTAGGTCAGTCAGCACCCAGACCTAAAAAAGACAATCTGCTAGTGACAAACTAGGTACCAGGACATCACTTTGTACTCCAAAGGGGCTCTGTATGTGTGAACCCTAACCCTCACTCATCTAGATACCAACCCAGAAGTAAAGTGTCTTTACTCCACTTCTCAGCAAAGTGACAAAGCTGTGGGTGTAGTGTCTTTGTCCCATAGAGGGCAGACTCTGCACTCCCAAGGATAACACTTGGAAGAGGATAGTACTGTTGCCCCTCAGAAGCACACCACAAATCTCCCAAACACCCACACACCTGTCAGGAGAGGAGAGAATGAAACATCAAACATTGGCTCCACCTAGGGCAGTACCTAGGGACTCTACAGTGTCCCTGGGTGGAGTGACTTGGGCTACACCAGCCCCATGGCTCCCAAGGTGGTGCTGGGTGTACTCACAGCATCCCTGGTTAAGGCACATGTGGTGCAGTCAGCTCCCATTCAGTAGTTCTTAAAGACACAGGAGCCTTCATACACCACCCTCCACCCAGCACTGCCTGCTGCTTTCCCTACCCCGTCTCAAGTGCCCAGAGTTTTGTGTGATTTTTCTGGGCTTCCTTCCACCTCAAGTCTACTCTCCCCTGTACTTTCATGTCCGGCTGCATACAGAAGCAGAGCCTGCCCTCTATGAAGGCTAGCCTCAGGTATGCCAGGGGCTGTCTTCACATTCTACCTTCACAAACAACTCTGGCTTTCTGTGACTGTGGTGTGTAAGAGAGTATTGCTGAACATGTTGTGTTTGTATGACAGTGGGTTGTCAAGCTCTCTGGAAGCTATTTCAATCTCTGCTCTAGACCTGCAGCCACTAAGTGACTACACTGCTCGTCCGCTCTGTGGTGAGGCCCTGACCCAGGGTATGGGCTTGTTATTATTTTCCTTTTCTGGTTTAGGTTTCATGTATGAGAGCAGTGATTTTATGACCCACTGAGCACACAGGCCCTGTCCTACCCAGGAAGAGTGGAAGCCAAGTTCTCCCAGCCACAAGAAAAAAGAATCTAAGAAACTCAGGTCACAAGAAGATTGTGGAAGCCACCTCGGAGCTGGGTCACATCAAGTTGTGCGATATGCTGTCACACTTTTCAGGATGTAAAGGCCAACTCATAGCAACTGTACAGAGTGGAAATCAATTTCTCTGCGTGACTGAGCCTGAGTCTGTAAGTCACATGGGTTACTGTGTGCTGAGTCAAGCTGTCAGGATGAACCTCCTAAAGTCAGGCCAGCAGGGTGGGTCTGGGAATGTTAGACATGCAGATATATCTTAGTGACACAGGCTGGGGACACTGTTCCTCATGTGAGTACTGCCTGCTCTAGGACCCGCTGTCTCTCTCCCTTACTCTGTCCATCTGCTTTCTTGCACACAAAGGAAGGGAGGTTGTGACCAATACTGTGGGCCCATGACCTGGACTCCCCAAGGCCATGTGCACGCCATATGAGAAAGTCCATGACAGATACTGCCCTTGGTGTTGAAGCAGGAATGTTCAGAGGAAAAACATGTCCAAAGCCAAACAACCTGGTACAAACTGTCAATACTTATATCTAGGCACACAGCACTTGCCTCCTGTATCTCCTGTATCTTCACACTCTATTTTATAAATTTCCAAAGACACAAAGAATCAATCTTGTAGGTCTCATAACAGTGACTGCCCACAGCTTCCTGGCAAGGTCAAACAGATGAAAAGTCCTCTTCACAGCCTGTGTCTATAATACAGCACCTATTCCATAGTCCCAGAACACTGAAGAAAACCAGGTTCCGTTATCAGAGGACACAAAGTCTCACCAGTTCACAATCCAACTTCTGATGCTATTTCTAAAGACAATAAGCCTGGGACCATTAAGTCCCTGATCTGTTTCAGGGTGCTTAGAACCTAACACGCCAGGATATGGGGGAGAATCCCATGGGTTTACATGGGCCACTCTTCCAGGTACCTATTATGTTCAGATCAAGTGCAACCAGCTGGGTTCTCCAGTAGGTCTTACAGTGAAAAAAGTCCTGGCTTCAAGTTCTCTGCTCCAAGGACAATCACTTCCTTCCTCAGGCTCTATTCTAAAATCCCAGACCATCTAGATAGAGCCTCCCTAAGGCATCCGGCATCCCGGTTGCCCATTCCTCAGGACACACACTGCCCCTACCTTGACATGGTAGTGGGCATCCAGCAGGATGTTCGCTGGCTTCAGGTCTAGGTGCAGCAGTGGTGGAGACATGCAATGCAGGAAGTTCATGCCCACAGCTGTCTCATGCACAATGCGGAAGCGCAGGTCCCAAGGCAATGGCTCTGAGGCCAGCAGCTTCTCCAGAGAGCCTGTCTCCATGTACTCCATAACCAAGCCAACAGGTTCCTGGCATATGCCATACACTGGTAGAATGTAGCGGAACTTGGCCATTTCCATCTTCTTAGCTTCCTCCAGAAGTTCCATGCGTTCCCTGAAAAAGTTCATAGATATGAGGGCATGCAGCTGTCACCTAGCTGGACACAGAGCCACTAGCCAGGACACACCCAGTGATAAATGCACATGTGTACAAAGTTCACTGTCATAGAGTTTAACCTGCCTCTGCACCTGGGGTCACTGTGAGGATAGAGCCTAGCAGTTATCTGGATACCTACAGGTGACATCATGTCCCTTGTCTGGATGGAAAACTGCTAGCTAACTATCCAAGGACCTTCACTCTCACCTCTGTTTAATCCCAACTCTTTCACTAACCCAGTCACTCCTGGATCTAATCTCCAATGAGCTTATAGCAGGAGTTGGGCAAGGGCTACTTATAGCTGGTCATGCTTTCTCTGCTTACACAGTGGTTGTTTCTAACTACCCAAAGGGGACAACAGAGGCATTTCATATGTAGCTATCACTACCATCTACATCCAGGACATGGTCATCATCCCCAACAAACTGTACCCATTAATCACCCACCAGAACCCATATTCTCCTGTTTCTGAATCCTGGTACCCCCAATAAGCAGAGTCATCCCTACCATTCTTCCGCGTCTACCTTACTTCATAAGGTGTTTTCAAAACCCATTTATATTGCTGCACACATCCAAGTTTATCTGTGCGGCCTAGCAATGGTGCAGGAATATACTACATCTTGCTAATCCACCCTCATGGCTATGTTATTTGACAACTTGACATATCTGGAGTCATCTGAAAAGGAACCCCATCATATTAGCCTGTAGACAAATCTGTGGGGGTGCTTTCTTAATCCAAGATTGGTATAGAAGGGACCAAGACCACTGAGGCAGACGGCCCTGGACTGCATAAGAATGCATGCTGGGTAAGCCACGGGGAGCAAGCTAAGAAGCAGTGTTCCCCCATGGCCTCCCCTTCAGCTTCCACCTCCAGGTTCCTCCCTGACTTCCTTTACAACAGCCTGTAACCTTTAAGATGAAACAAACATTTTCTTCTCAAGTTTCTTTTGGTCGTCAGTACTTTAACACAGCAACAGAAAACAAACTGTTCTTCCTGTTTGCTCCTGAAAATAATGTCCTTGCAGTCTTCATGTTAGTTCTTCTGGGTACCTGCCCAGAAGCAGAGCTGCTGGATCATGTGGCAAGTCTATGCCTAATGTCTAGAGAAGCTGTGGTGCTGCTGTCCACAGCCTGCTACTTCCTAGCCAATGACCTTCCACTGAGGCTGTCTCCTCACACATTTAGGCTCAGTCTGTGGCAGAGACAGCTGCAGCATGGGCTGCATTTACCAGCTACAGTCAAAGGTTAATTCCACGGTATTTGTACAGATGACAATTACTGCGTAATGGTCTGTGCCAGCAACAGGTCAAAAGTCTCAGTGTACACTCAAGGTAAAAGGCCCCATCCCAACAGGGTGTGCCTAAGCCACATAGGATCCGGGTCAGTGTCTCTCCAAATACACACAAGAAGGTACGCAGGAGGCTGGGAAGAGGTTCTCATGCCAGGGCTACAAAATCTGCTTTCTAGTAATAGAAGGACTCCTTAAAGGAAACTTCTAGAACCACTCCTAGAGAGACCTATTGGAGCTGGAAACTGGGCAACCTTGGCGTCTACACATAGGCCTGATGGGCTGAGGTGCCTTCCCAGAAGGCAGGCAGAGTAACCTGAGATTTACTGGGTCTTCATTAGTCCCCCATAAGGGCTCTTCTAGATCTAAAGTGGCTGTTGGAAAATCACTAGGCACGTGCTGGAGGACCCAAAATGGAGCTAACAAGTCACTTTCTAACCTGACCCTCCTCTGAAACTGTAGGAGGCTTCCAGGCTTCCCTGGCCTCATGCAAGGACAAAGGCAGGCAAGCAGAGAGCTACAGGAGCACCAAAACCACAGCAAAAAACATCATATGCTGGCAGGTGAAATTGCCACAAGTTCTAAGGGCTGAAGATTTTAGCCCCTTGCCAACCAGTGCCAATCCTATCTGTATGTAGCTAGAGCTTAGTCCTCATGAGCACACACTTTAAGCCAGCCTATTGCTGGAGTGGCAGGCAACAGACCCCTGGCTAAAGCGAAGCATCTTGGAATGAGTCACTAAATGACTTCAGAACAGAGTCTAGCATGGTGTGCTGTCCCAGCCTTCTGGAGACACTGCCAAAAGCAGCTAGTCACAGAAGTATAGAGCTATCTGAGAGATACTTGGAGTGGGTGGACAAATAACCTTACACCAGGATCTTGTCAACTACTTCCTTCCTTATTGGAAGGCTCTAAGAGTCTAGCCTCAACAGGAGGCAGAATCCTGAGTACCATGCTTGCCTTGGACACTGACTATGGTATTTGTACAGATAGAATAGGCTGGAAGACTCCCAGCCCTGCTCCTGTACTCCACACATATCTGAAAAACAGGCCAGTAAAGAGCTAGATGCCCAGGTCAAGCATTAACAAAATAAAGCTGGTACTTGAAGGAGAAGATAGTATTTCTTGGGCTGGGTTCCTTTCTCCCCAGGGGAAGGCAGGAGCTGAGGACCTTCCTGTTCAGACCCCATACACAGCATCAGCTGCTGCTCATTCTTTTGTGTTAAGAATAAAAGTTATAATTTGTAGTACCCACTCCCTCCCCACCCCCTTTTCATTTTCTTCTATAAAGTGGTCAGTTTGCACCTTCCAATGTGGGTATCCTTCCTGCCCAGAAGATGGGTCCCTACACTCTGTGAACTGAGGAGGTATACCTGCCCATCTCCAGTCTAAGGAACTCATGTCTGCAGGTGGGCTACAGCATGGGCCACTGTCCCCACTCTCTGGACACCTTTACTTAACCAACCCAACCAATCTCTTTATTTGCCCAACAGTTTTAATACACACAGCTAACTTCCGTTGGTAGCTCCCAGCAGCCTTGCTGGCAGAAAATGGCTAGTTCTACCCTTCCCAACACTCAAAATTCAACAAGTTCTCCCTCCTTGCCCTGGTCCCTTTCCAGAACACAAACTTCATTTAAAAAGAACAGGTCTGTAGGACTGCTGACCCCAGCACATTTACACACTGTGCACAGCAGGCTGGAGGGAGCACATAACATCACCCCCTTGCCCTGGCCACATGCTTCAGGGCACTTAATTGGAAACTGGCCATTGTTTCCTGGGTTAAACATCAGTCATCTTCATGGTTGCATAACCGGAAAGCTCAAGGCAGAAGGGACTAGCACTGAGGCAGAATCCTAGGACATCCAGAAAACCCTTTCAAAGCCTTTGTTATCTAATTTCCTCTGGACTAAAACACTCACAACATTATCCTGATGCTTTGGATATATGTAGCCTGGGGCAACCTGTGGCCTGAAGCTCCAGCCTCTAGGTGTTATCAGGAGCACCTGCACTCTGGGCCTAAATCAGGCCAGGCCCCAGCCTGGGAGAGGCACAAAGACTCCAATAGACACAAAATGTGTTTTATGTTGTTGGTGCTTATCATTTAAAATACATCTTTCTCATAAGCAACATTTCTGATCAGTGTTGACAGCAACATAGAAAGAACTGTACACTTGTAATTCCGACTACTGTTCTAAAAGCTGGAAGGATTTTCCATTTTGTCCCTAGCCTGGATGCCTGGGTGGGGCAAGGATCATTAGGTGGCAAGCCCAGGGCATGCTCCTGGTTGCCATTCTGTTCCATTTTGTTCTTTCTGCTCACAACGAACAATGTTTCTGGGCCACAGAACCCACTGACTCAAGTTAATTAAAACACAACTTGATCTTTGCTTCTGCACAGTGCAGGAAGGCTGAAGTTACATTCTCATCTCCTTTGCCCCTGGAATAGGGATGGTAACTCAGCCTCAGAGGAGGAAGAGAAAAGATACCTCTGCTCCACTCTCATGCCTGTTTTGGGGCTCTATTTAGAAAATCTGGGCCCATGGACTGGAGAGATGGCTCAGTGGTTAAGAGCACTGACTGCTCTTCCAGAGGTCCTGAGTTCAATTCCCAGCAACCACATGGTGGCTCACACTCGTCTGTAATGGGATGCAGTATACTCATATACATTAAATAAATAGATAAATATTTAAAAAAAAAAGAAAAGAAAAGAAAAGAAAATCTGGGCCCAAACAGGCAAAGTTGGGGTTATAATTTCTAAAAGCACCTATTTATTTATTTGTTTGTTTGTTTGTTTGTTTATTGGCATGGCTGGCTACTGAGCCCAGAACCCCTGCACATGCCAGGCAAGGCCCTAACCATGAAGCTATAGCCTCCTGCTTACCTCCAAGTTTCCTTTTTCTTTTTTCTTTTTTTTGCCCAGACTGACCTTGAACTCGAACTCATGTCAATCCTCCGGTCTCAGCTTCCCGATTACTGAGATTACAGCCTAAGATACTTTTCAAAAGCATTTACAATAATTCACACACTTGCAGCCCATTTATATCTACCATGTCTGGTCTCCCACCAAGGGAGGGAACTGGTGTACAGAGGAATATCAGGGGTAGCTAACACCCATCACTTCTGGAAGGTCTGCCTTCCAGCTGAGAAAGTACAGAAAAAAGGAGAGAGAACCTAAGACCAGCTGTGAATGAGCCTCATGCCTGCAGGCAACAGGGGGACTGCGGGGGACTCAGCAACAGCTGCCAGGGAACCTGGGAAGCATTGCTGGGAGTAGAGTATTTCAGCCTCTCCGATAGGCTCCTACACACCAATCCAATTAAGTTCCCAGGAGCCTCAGAGGGGTTCCCACACTGCTATTTTTAAAACTGACAAGAATCAGGCTTGTCCAATTGTCAGCTTTGTAGTTACAAACCTGGGGTTTGCTCGGGCTCGTCCCAACGAGCTGAGGCCCAACTCTGCATTAGCAGCTTTTGGGCCCCTGTGCCAGGGACTTTGTTTTTCTGAGCTCCTCTTAGCTGGGAGCAGGGAGAGGCATAGGGCCCCTGGGTCATTTTGTTCTAAGATTGCCAGGCCTGCTCTCCTGTACTTGTGATCTCCCAGGTGAGAGCCAGCCAGGGAAGATAGCCTTCTCCCCAAAGCCAGGGAACGGGACCCTCCCAAAACACCTGGCAAGAGAAATCAGATGAATGGGGAGATCACTTGTGAATTATGCCGAGGTCCTCTAAGTGTCCCCATCTGGGCAAAAAAATTTTTATAAGTGTCCCAGACCTGATAAGGCCCCACCTTCCCTGAACAGCAATGGAGGATGACAAGCAGAAGGATGGGGCCTGGGCGGCTGCTGGGGAGCCAAGAGACCTCCAGCTAGCTTGAAGGGTGAACAGCCTGACCAGTGAAAATAGGACTGGCCCATAGCTGAGGCTAAAGCAAAGGCCAGAAATGACAGCAGCAAACTGTCCACAGAAGAGGTAGCTGTTAGCTGGCCTGGAGGTCATTATGGATGGACCCCTCCCTCACAATCAGCTTTGAACACTACTTCTGGTACCCCTGGGGAAGCACCTCGATGGCCACTCCTTAGAGGTAAATTTAGCAGGGCTTTGTCAAGAGGCCCTTAGAGGAAGGCTATTTAATCCTGGCAAAATATGGATGGCTTTAAAAAAAAAAAAAAAAAAGACAAGGTCTCTTTGTATCAATGGTTTTCAAACTGTAGATTATGACCCCTTTGGGGACCACATATCAGATAAATTGTATATCAGATATTTACATTATGAATCATAACAGTAGCAAGATTAGTTATGAAGTAGCAACAAAATAATTTTATGGTTGGGGGTCACCACAACATGAGGACCTGTATTAGAGGGTCGCAGCACTAGGAAGGTTGAGAAACACTGTCCTACATAGTCTTCATAGTCCTGGAACTCACTATGTAGAAAAGGCTGGCCTCAAACTAGAGATTCCCCTGCCTCTTTTTTCCTAAGTGCTCAGATTAAAGGCATGCACCACCATGTCCAGCTTATTTACAAGGTAGGAAAGACAAACTTGTCCCTTACTTCAGAGCCTTTCTTGCCTGACCTCTCAGAAAGCAGGACTTTTTCTTTTTCTCATTTGTGTCCCCGCTGCCAAGACTGACTGCTTGTTGGCCCTGTTGCTTTCTTTCAAACTTCAAAAAAAAAAAATTCCTTTCAAGTCCATGTTTAAATCCTCTTATCTCTGAGGTTAAGATCCTGCAAATAAGACTTCATGTCCTCTGGCTGGGGCTGGGGGCGGGGGCTGCACACAAAGCCCCTGGGAAAATTCTGTTTCTACTTCTAAGTAATGCCTTGCAAAGGCAGGCAAGGCAGGACTACAGCACAACACCCCAGGGAAAGTCAGCCTCCCTCAACAGCTATTTCAAGCTTCAGAAGCAACCTGGCTAGCCTGCAGGGCAACAGGCCCCTCAGGCACAGCAGAACCAAGTGGATTCCTAAGCATTTCCCACCCCAGAACTCCCAGACTTCCGAACACCCCAGGGAGCTTAAACACTTAACTAGCCCTGGGTGGAAGAAGTCAATCTCACATACAAAAGAAAAAAGGCAGCCCTGACCTGGTGGCCAAGTACTTCCTGCTGGGTGCTCTGACCTCTACCTGCCTGACGTGCCACCACCTGCCGGCTTCAGGCAGGGAAGGAAAGGCCTTGCAATTAAAGGACAAACAGTTCAACACAGGCTCTTCGAATGTGGAAAAACCCTGCCTTTGCGATCTGGCCACCCCCCCAAAAAAGATCTGTAGGACTGTACCATATATTGATTCCAAGGATACCACACCTGAAGTGGTTCATATTTACCCTCCAATAATCAAATTCTGTCAAGTATTTGATGGTGAATAAATAGCATTCACTCTGCCTAGAAAACAATCCCACTAAGTCTCTGAGGGCATAAGAAACACCCACGCAGAGGTTTTGTTGTTGTTTTGGTTTTTACCTTTAAAAAACTGTGGGCTGCTATTCAAAAATGGTTTGGATTTCGCCAAAATAACCACAGTGCTAGTGTTCCTCCTGGCCTGAAGGGTTCCCAGAATTGGAGTCCGGGAGGGTTTACACAGTATGGTGAGCTGGTAGTGATTTTAGACACTAGTTCCCACTGTGCCACAGTTTCTAAGAAAAATTGGATAGCAAAAGGCAAGCAAGCAAGCAAACACAAACACCCGATAGCTCTGACAGAGTCTCCAGGCTAGAAATGAGGCACAAAGGGAGAAGATTGACGCCTCATCCTCAAACTATCCTCCTTACTGTCACCCAAGCAGGCAGTTAGCACTCCAAAGTAACGCAGGAGTACAGAGTGGCTTAAGGCTGGTCCTCCAGACAGCTCGAGTTTAAGAGGTATCTCTGGGGAAAATGCAAACATCACCACCATATCAGCTTGGTTAAAGATTAAGTCATTTAAATCTGCCTTTCTGAGGCTCATACATAACATATCACTACTCAATGTAAACAGTGAAATCTGGGGAAAATGCTTTTCAAGAACTGTTCCGCACCTCACCTCCAAATTTACTCACAAACCACAATGCCATAGAGTTTACCGGGGACCGCTCTGAGTCCTTTCTTATCGCTGGAACAATCCGCTAGGAGGGACAAAGAAAGGCCCAAGGTGCCCGGGGCCACCTGTCCAGCGTCAAAAAAAAGACGTTCCCTGGGTCTCAGCTCCCACCCTAAGTCCCCTAAAACGAAGGTGTGCAGAAAAAGAGCGGTGGGCAGAACCAGATCCCAGACCCAAGCAGGTTCCGGAGCCCTGTAAGCGGCTGTGCGCCGCGGACGCCTCGCCCGAGCCCAGCCGGTGCTTCCGAACGAAATAATTACGGTCTTACACCAATTTGTGCTCCGACGAAAATTACTAAGTGGAACTGAACCTAACTCGTTCACAAAGCGCAGAGGCCCACACAGCAATTTCTCTAAGCCCGGCGCGGACCGCACCTTTGGTGGGTCTCGGACGAGCCCGACACACGTCGCCGGGCTCAGGGCCATCGCTCCGGGCCAGCTCCGGATCCCAGAAGCTCTGGAGCTGCGAGGGACCGGTGGCCTGAGTGCCGCAAACTCTCTTCCCCGGCGCCTCACGTACGCGGAGCCCCCCATCCCACCCGGCCCCGCCCGGGAGCTGACCTGTCGTCGACGTGCAGACTGGGCGAGCACTTGATCGCGAGCCACGTCTTCCAGTGCACGTGGCGCACCTTGTACACTTGCCCGAAGCCGCCGGAGCCCACCTTCTCCCAGCCTGCGAATTCGCCCGCGTCGAAGGTGCGCAGCAGCCCCAGAGCCCACCGACCCCGGCCCTCGCCCTCCATCGCGTGCGTATTGCCGCAGCCTGGCTCAACCGTGACCGCCCAGGTGCTCAGGTGCGCGCCCCGCCCGTTGACGTCACTTCCGACGCTGGCCCCATCCCGCCCCTCCGGTCCCCTGGGCCCGCCCCCGACGCCCTCAAGGGAGCGGCGCAGGGGGTGAGAATCTAGCGCCCGGTGTTGCGGACCCACCAGGGATCCCGGGAATCCCTGCGCTGCCTAGGGTGTGCGCTGTGGCTGGCCAACTTCTCACTGCAGCTGTAGTATGTACTTATTTCACTTCTCACAGTGCTCCCATTCTGCAAAACACAACAAAGTATAGTCTCCAACTGGACTTAGATCCGATTGCCGGGCTTGCTCAGGTTTCCCCGGTTTTGCACCTCTTCGTTTGCGAACGTTAAATCCTACACAATGTTCTCGTCTGGGCCAGTTCGTGTACCCGGCACTAGTGGAGAAAGAGAACATTCTGTGCCCTCCTGGAAGCCTTTTTCTAACTGCACTCTTAGGCCCTGGTGATCGCTAATCCTGTTTTTTTCTCTCCCCTCTCCTGAAAACATTTGTTTATATTAGAGTTATATAGTATCCAACCTTTGGGACTGGTTTTCCACTCCTCTTGCGTCTCGTTTTTTCACCGGACTCCTCATAGGAAGTAACTGGTTCTTTAAAATTCAATCACCCCTGCCCTATAGCTCAAGCTTGTAAATCATAGTTCTGAGGAGACTGGGGCAGGGGGAATCACCTCAAGTTTGAGATCAAGCCTGGGTTTCAGAGCGAGACCTTATTTTTAAAACAAACAAATATCTCTTCATTATGGAAAACAGTGACCTTTTAAAAGTAAACAAATGGCTTGAAAGGGAAGGATAATCGACCTGTTAATCTTTGGGAAAATTTAGCTTTGGGAAGATAGCCGGTCAGAAGTGGCAGGGCCTACTGGTGAGTTCTCTACCTTCAAGAAACACTCTTGCCCACTGTGCTTAAGAGCAGATGAAAACTGGGCCTGATGGGAGAAGAGGAGGGAGCGTTGTGAGAACAGTAATCCTGGAGAACCTCTCTCCTGTCACACCTGGTAACTGAGCCTTCTCCCCTGCATCTCATCTCCCAGCTGGCTTCCCAGTGGAGGGGCCCACAGTCCCAGCCTTGCTTGGGGTTGGGGTTGGGAGTTGCAGTGAGGGTCTCCTGGGAGCTATAGGCACCACCATCCTTTCCCATATAATTTCTGAGTCCAAGACAGCAGATAGCCATTTTAAACTCATCTGTAGCGAATATACCTAATGTATAAGCTAACTCTTTAAGAATAATTGGGTTTTTTCAATGAATAAAAATAACTTGAAAGTAAACATAGTCATTATTTTGGTAATGAAAAAATATTGACTAGAAAATGAGTCATGGCACCCATTTCCGGGGTACAGCTCCAGGTATGTAGTCTCACCCTGTCTGCTCAACTTCAGGGAGGAAGGGGGTGACTAAGCCCATAGCAGTCAAGTAATAAAACACTCCAATTTCATTTATTTAATCATCTGTGCGCTTCACTCAACAAATATTTATGGAGTGTCTGCTGCGGGCTCCATATGGAAACTGGAGCCCAGGGAGACCAAAACAGACAGCCCACTTAGGGACCCAAGTCACAGCATGGAACTGGCTTCTTCTCTTTTCCAGAGATGTCATTAGGTTTAGCCCATCCCTGCTACCAGTCTGCTAATCTGTAAAGAGGGAAAGAAATTGCTGACTGGAACTTCTCTGGAGGACTTGCTAGCAGGGGAAGTTGACATCTCCAAGTGGAAAGGTGAAGTTGCAAGTTAAACACACTGTAGGTCAAAAGATCAATGCACAGATTAGAAGCAAAACAGTAAGTGAGCGATAATGCAAGCTCTGTGCCCGGCACTGGAAGGCTGCAAGCTCTGTGCCCCGCGCTGGAAGGCCGCAAGCTCTGTGCCCCGCACTGGAAGGCTGCAAGCTCTGTGCCCCTGCACTGGAAGGCTGCAA